ATTAATGCACTTAACTTTGGTCTTGGAAGGACTGATGTTCAGGCCCACCTGCATAGCGAAGCCATTCAGCCTGTCGCTCTTTTCTTTGAGATGTTTGATTTTTGTGGAGACTACAGCAAGATCATCGGGAAAAGTCAAGGTCCCCAAGCTGTGAAGGGGGTCTACTGGATGCCTGTTGTTTTCCACATGATCCAGTCAATGGTGACCAGGAAGAGGATACAGTTTGCCTCACATCAGACTTTACAGGGAACCATTCTGACGCTGCATTCGATCGTCCTGTAGAACAGCCTCATACAGCGTTTTTGGTGGAACGTAGAATACCAATTTCCATAAAGTATCACTGTCGAATGATTTCTTAGTCTATAAAATTGATATGCGGAGGGCTTTTCCACCCGATGCACTGCTCTGATGTTTCTTAGAGTAAAGAAATGGCCTGTACTACCTCTTCCACTTCTGAATCTGGCTTGTTCTTGTCTGAGTTTAAAGCCTGTCATTTCTGTATAGAAGAACTTTTAATGGGACTGAGAGCAATTTGATGCCACTCCAACTCTGTCTCAACTCTGAAGAACGCCTTTCTTGGGGAGTTTCACAATAAGGCCTTTGTTCCAACCATCTAAATGTAACTACATGTATCAATAATTCACCAAATTCATCCCTACTTTTCATAATACCACTCTTGCACAGCTGCTGCTCAACCATGCGAACGTATTTTGAAAACTTGCCGATCATTTTTGTTATTCCGAACTTTTAAATTTTAAACAGAATATGCTTGTGTTGCAATTTCTATGAATAGGTGTGCCAGACTTTCAGACATATGCTCCAGTCAAGCTCAGACACACTAACTTTACACAACGGCAAAAGAGTGAAAATGTCTAAAGTCAGTCATTGCTTATTGAGGGATTCAAAGTGAAGTTTAACTGTTTAACTATGAGGATAAAACATTTTATGATCAATAAGTTATCACATGTTTTTAAGTTAAGCAATTTTCAACTTTTTATAAGTTATACAAGATTAGTGTTATATATTGTATATATTAAGATCAGTTTAATGTAATTACAGTAACTTTTTTTTTTTTACAGTGTTGATCCCACACATCCCAGAATTCAACAAATCCATTATTCATTACTGATGTTTGTGCGGTTAAGCAATATTAAAAAAGAGTAACGAGACCATGATATTGAGGGCATGAGGAAAACGTTTAACATTTTAACAGAATAAAATGAAACACCTGCATGGGACATTTTTACATGCAAGCTTTTCCATGTAGGAAGTTTCATAGCACACTGGGGCATAGATGAAAAAGGATGAAATTTTAACAGTGAAAAAAAAAATTCACATATTCGGATAAAAGTACAATAAAATCAAGAGTTTAATACTGAGATTGTAATGAAAATGTACTGCATTAAATAATCAAAAATGGTTTGCTTGTAAATAAATGTCCAAGCACACAAAGATAAACCATTTTTAAATGTTTATTTCTTACAGTAGCATAAAGATTAAAAACAGTCCATAACTACACAAAGACTGCGGTTGTGAAAGGAAAAAAAAAAAAGCACTGACCAATAGACACTATCAGCACTAATGAGAAGTTAATGAAAGCAAACACAGTGGCACAGTGAGGATATGTACAGTCTGTTGAAGGGTTCCTTCAAATGAAGAACTGGATTCAGCATTATATGTGGATAGTGGAGTGTGTTCTACTCAAATGAACATATCTAAATACTGTAGCCTAATGTTTAACTTCATCTCAGGTTTTTTGTTGTTGTTGTTGCTGCCTTTTTAATTATTTATTCAAATCAAAAGGGGAATCTACCATAAAGCCTTTCAAAAATGTCAAGAAAACTAAATGAAACTGCCTCCCTCACTCAACATCTATCCTGGAGGCACAATCATGTGTTTGATTGTGGAAAACTGAAGTCTTTACAGGCTGTGTAATATTCATAAAATTTTTACAGCCAGACAACTTTGCATCCTTTAATCCTGTAAACAATTAAGCAAAAGATATGAAGTCCTAAAAAGCTCTCTCAATGTGACAATAAGGATCCACAAAGACCAATAATTTAGTGCTGAGAACATTGGCAAGAGCATAAAGAGAACAAGCCAATTTCGAATTGATCTCGTCATGCAATTTGGCCACAGACAGAACATTTCAAATGGAGAGAACAGAGAAGGTGGACATAATGTAGTCTTTCAGAAATTGTTTGAGGTTTGCCTGAATATCATTCGCCAGGCTACGATGTGGCACAAAAACAAGAAGAGAAACATCCCTCATAGCCCACTAGTACCATAGGATTACTGAATACTGTTAAGAGCAATACAAGAACTTCACGAATCAGCATTTTTCTAAATCTAAATTTTCTGAACAATACATAAAAAAAAAAAAATCAGGATAAGTAATTGGTTAAAAGTCTTTGGTGACCAACTGCACGTCTCAATATTCTACCTATGTATTAGGCAGCCATCCTACGTGTCCGTGATATTAGAATTTCACTGTAAAACGCCTTATAATAATCCCTCAGAATAGGTCAAATATAATAAAGCCACTGCAGCACTGTGCATTTAATGTTCGCCGATATATAGCCGTCAAAAGACGATTACACTTTATTGACAATGTATAAAAGCACTTGTGTGCCACAAGTCTAGATTTTCTAAAGGTTCAGAGGACTTTTCCGACGTGAAAGCGAATGCAGGTAGGTAGCTCTTTAAAAATGAAGAGGGGAGAAAGTTTTCAGGTGAGAGAGCTTTTCCCACCCTGATCCCGAAGGCACGGCGCTCAGCTTAGTTTAAAGTAGAACAGACAAGAGGATGAGATGGTGGCGCACAGGAGAAGCCGTGAATCATGTGTGGTGGGTGGAGGACAGCTGGTGGGTAGACGATCCGTGCCCTATTTTAGAGCCCAGATTTGTGCGCGTGCGAATGTGTGTCAATAAATGCTCTGTAAGAAGACTAAAGGAACAATAACATGTGTTTATGCGTCTTATAATGAGGTTAGCGGTGCTCTGGAGAGAGGATGTGTCCAGAAGCGAGGACAAGGCACCCAAGCATGTAACATATGTGCATTTGCACACTGAAATAGCTGATATGTCTACATTTTGAAAAAGAACTACTGGAACTTGGACTAGGCCAAAACAGAAAGCTACGGACCCCCAAAGGGAAATGGTGATGAGAGAGGGGAAGTAAAATATATCATATTTCAGTGCTTTTGCGTTCTCTCTGGAATGTTTTACGTTCCCCTGAAACCAACCAGACAACTTCCGGCAAATTTAGATTTGCTCTGAAAGTTAGTCTGGCAAAGAGCTCATTCAAGCTCATTTCCAATCCGCCGAAATCGCGGCACCAATCAGAAACGTTGGGGCGGGCTTTACACGATGACGACAGCGCTGGGATTTTGATCATGATTTTGTAGCCTACATTACAAAGATGGATGCCGCCGTCGAACATCACTCGTTCTAATCAGCTATCGCGTCTGTTTTAAGCGATTTGAACGTTTCTTTTTAGTTAAAAACCGAGCAAAGAACATCACTCGGAGATGTTTTTTCCGCCGCTCTGCATATGTCATCTCCTTCATCGCTCTGATTGGGTTTAGGTCTATCCACTACGTCCGTTGGTGAGGTGACGCACCTCTGGAAATGATTTGTCTGTGACGCTTTGCCAGACCATAACTCAGTTACAACTGAGAATGGTCTGGTTTTAACCAGGCTACTGAAACCATGCATTCACTTGCAAAATCTCTCTCGCAAGACTCTTGCAAGACTCTTGTTTGTTCACAAAGACATCGAAAGTTTTGAGCGTGAATACAAAGTTTCTCAGGAGAACGCAAACTTGCCCATCATTTCTCTGGGAACGCAAACATTTGACAAGCTAACCCAAAGTTTCTTGGAGGAAAGCAAACATTTTCAAGCTAATGCAAAGTTTATCGGGTGAACACACAAAATTTGCGAGAGATCACAAAAGCATTGAAATAATTATCCTCCCATCTCATCCCATTTCCTTTAGGGCCTCCGTAGAAAACACTAGGCGTTCACATGGATCTTTCTCGTTACCCTTTGTCTTAAAAATGTATACTGTAGGCTAATAAATTACACAAGAAAAACTATACAAATAAACAAATCACCTATTTTTGACGGTAAATGACTGAACAGCAGCAAAGGAGTGTCTACATGAAAACTTTTATCAATGAGATCCATCAATTTTACCAAGATCTGTCAGCCAGTTTTAAATTGTATCGCAATACATCCGGCTTCATAAATGAAAGCTTATATTCTATTTCTCTCAATCTGATGCTTTTTGCAGTTTCTTTCCATCATTTAACACTATTTCAGTAGGTTAGATTTAAGTAAGTGCTGTAGATCAACAACGAAGCGCTACTATTGTTCACAGTGCATCTCTAGAACAATCACCACAGCTTTATTAGCGTTGCTTTCTAAATGTACTCCACGTATTTTGAATATATTGCTCATATGTGTTCATATTGGACTGCGTCAGTGGTATCTGGTTTTAGTATCTGTCCATCCTCCTCAGACCAGAGGAACGATCAGTACTCAGATGTAATTAGCAAAAACAAAAAACAAACCAAAAAGCAAAGTTGTTTAGACTGATGCTAGCACACAGTGATAGCAAACTGTTAGCAGGATCATTTCAAACACGAACAACTAAACATAAAATATCTTATAAGACAGAGTAAAGCTTGGTTTATGCCGGTGACGTGAGGAGTAGCGAAACGACCCGCTATTATGTCCAAGCTTTTAGTTAAAGGGATAGTTCACCTAAAAATTAAAAAATTCTGTTATTTCCTCACCCTCACGTCATTCCAAACCTGTCCAACTTTTTCTTCTATGAAACACAAAAGAGGATGTTTTGTTAAATGTCTCTGAATTTGAAGAAGAAGAAAAAATGCCACAATGGTGCAAAACAACTTTGGCCCACACTGACTTTCATTAACAAAATTTTTTTTTCAAAAACTAAGAAAGTATATATATCATACAGGTTTGGAACGATATGAGGGAGAGTAAATGATGACAGAATTTTCTTTTTTTGAACTGTCCCTTCAATGAATCACAGAGAACTACTAGAGTACTATGATACACTATGGTGATTGTAGGTCTCACTCATCTATCTGGCCTCGGCGTGAGCACACATAAGAGATAGGCCGGAAAGAGTTCTCGTATCGTCACTATTCAACAAAAGTCATAAATATGAGTTTATTCCATTCCCAGCACATATACCTAACATGCTGTTTAGTGGTGAGATATTAGTGTTCCTTTCCAAGTCAAGTTCCTTGTCCCAGTTGAGGTAGGCTTGCAAGGAAAAGCACATTTACTAGCGTCTCCTCTCAAAACCACCACATTATGGGGGACACTGTCCAGACTCCTGACCCCTCAGGACAGCACAGAATGATAATAAGATCATGAAACTACTTCTTGATCATGTTTAACAGGCACACTAATTGTGTCAAGTGGATAATGGGTGGTTTTCTTTATGGTAGTCCATCAGTTGGTCCATTTCTTTGCACCTGGTGCCCAGATTCACTTTCCAGGAAACACTGAGATCTTGCCAGCCTTGGCCAGCTTGTCGATGATCTGGGCCTCGTAGTCTGCATCATGGACACCTGTTTTACGAAACTCTCCAGAATAGCGGTTCTGCTCCCAATAGTGGTGCCAGTTTCCCCGACTGTCCGCCCCAAAACCAAATACATTCACCTATGGAGTCAAGAGGCAGAAATTAATTCACAGTCACTGCTTGGAAATGTAAATAAAACATAAAATTAAAGATACGTTTCCACATAAAACACTTGAAATGTCTTTCTCAAAAACAAAATTAAACATTCATATTTAAATGATTTATAATATAATCTTGCGTAGTTCACACTACTGTCCATAAGATTTTTTCTTTTGTGAAAAAAAAAATTTATTTTTAGCTTGGAAGCATGGAATTGATCATAAGTGACAGTAAAGCCATTTCAGTTTTGCCATTACAGAAATAAATTACTAATTAAAATAAATTCAAATAGAAAACTTGTAATAAAAGAAAAAGAAAAGTTGTAATAATATTTCACAATATTAGTATATTTTTGTGAGCATAAGAGACTTCTTTCCAAAACATTATTTCAAAAACATTTGAATCGTAGTGTACACAGACACACGCACAAGCCAATTTCTTAGGGACACCTGTTCAAATGCCCGTTGACACAAATATCTAATCAGCCAATCACATGCTACTCACAGCATTTAGGCATGTAGACATGGTCAAGAGACGATCTGCTGAAGTTCAAACTAAGCATAAGGGCAACAGTAACTCAAATAATCACTCGTTACAACCGAGGTCTGCAGAAGAGCATCTCTAAACAGTGAACACGCAACACTTCAAACATTGAAGCAGATGAGCTACAGCAGCAGAAGAACACACCGGGTGGCAATCCTGTCAGATAAGAACAGGAAACTGAGGCTACAATCCACACAGGCTCACCAATATTGGACAATAGAAGATTGGAAAAATGTTGCCTGGCCTGATGAGTCCCGACTTCTGCTGCGACATTCAGATGGTAGGGTCAGAATTTGGTGTAAGCAACATGAAAGGATCCATCCTGCCTTGTATCAACGGTTCAAGCTTGTGCTGGTGGTGTAATGGTGTGGAGGATATTTTCTTGGCAATTGAGCATTGTTTAAACACCACAGTCTACTTGAGTATTGTTGCTGACCGTGTCCATCCCTTTATGAACACAGTGTACAATCTTCTGATGGCTACTTCCAGCAGGATAATGTGACATGTCACAAAGCTCAAATCATCTCAAACTGGTTTCTTGAACATGACAATGAGTTCACTGTACTAAAATGGCTTCCACAGTCACTAGATCTCAATCCAATAGAGCAGTTTTGGGATGTGGTGGAACCGGAGATTCACATCATGGATGTGGAGCCGACAAATCTGCAGCAACTGTGTGATGCTCATGTCAATATGGACCAAAATCTCTGAGGAATGTTTCTAGAACCTTGTTGAATCTGTGCCATGAAGAAGTAAGGCAGTTCTGAAGGCAAAAGGAGGTCCAACCCGATACTAGAAAGGTGTACCAAATAAAGTGACTGGTGAGTGTGTGGTGTGTGGGTGTGTGTGTGTGTGTTTATCATGCCCCCCTATGGTCTTACCTCATCACATACATGTAGAGCAAAGAACAGGACGAGCATGCCAGTGGAGGGATAGCGCCCATGATGATGTGTCCATCGGTCATGGATGTATTTAAAGAAAGCTGGGTTGAAGATCTGAACCTACAGGACAATATTTGATATATATATGCAGATTTATAGCAGCAAAGAGAAAACAGATAAAGACTCAATGTGAGATTGATAGTGTTCTATTGTTCAGGGTCTAAAGAGTGTCTTAATTCAGAGAATATAAATCTTTGAGAGAAGGATGGGAATACATTACCTTGTCTTTATCCACACGCAGAAACTGCTTCACTGGAGCGTAAGTACTAAGAGAGAGAGAGAGAAAGAGAGGGCGAATTGGAAAGATAAAGTTATAAGTCTTCCCACTTCTGGCATCTCTTCATCTTTTCATAAAAACCTGTGAGTTGAACTGCTGCTAACTTTCTAGTGATTTTGAGTGAAGTAGAGAATATTGTTGATAAAGTGCTATGATGTGTGGCAGTGTGTGTGTGCTTTGAATGATGAATTTATGGGTACAGAACACTGCAGTGTGTTCATAGACAGAATATAATCAATGTCTCATTGGCCATGCTCCAGCCACTACGGCATTCTACAACTCATTTTACTCAAAATGCAGGAATTGACAACCAAATTTTAATTAAATCCACATTGCGTCTGTAAACTGAACTGAAATACTAATTTACTGATGAGATGTCACACTCAAAAAAAAAAAAAAAAAAAATTTAAATTAAGAATTCAATAAAAAATAAATCCGGTTAAGGCATTGACAACCAAATTTTAATTAAATCCACAGGGTCTGAAAACTGAACAACTCATTTATTTCTACCATATTAAAATGACATAATATAAATAAAAGGAAAAAGGGGGGAAAAAAGAAGAAAGTAAATAAAATAAAGAAATATATTTAATTAAAATGAACTAATAATAAAAAAGAAAGATTTAAATCAATTCTGCAGCTATGTAGCTTTTTTCTTAATCTTTGTGTCAGCGTTATTGTGCTCACAAGCGGATCTGGCCGGTGGAGAGAGCACTTGTGATCCACAACAAGTCGAGAGTCTTGAAGGGCACCAGCACAAAGCTCACGTTGGCCGCCAGGTTTTTGGCACTCTCTGGGTACATGAAGTGGTGTGTGGTACGGCTGCCGGCATCCTCCTCGTACCCTACAGTGGGGGCCAGGTTCATCCTGGAACACACAGATCCAATTGAATTAGACCGTGAAAACCGTCTCTCACTTTCACTGAAACAAGCCATTTACTTTGGCATTTCATTATTTTCCCCATGATAGAGTAAAATGAACAAACAGAAAGAGCATTCAGGTTGACAGCGAGCGGCAAAATAAAGCAGACAGCTGGAAGCCCTCGCCACTCATTGTAATTGCATAGAAAAAAGTAATCAGGACATTATTCAAAATTCTCCTTTAGTGCTCCACAGAAGAAGAAAAACATGACAGGGTATCTGCAGAGTTGTTCAAATCAAATAAATGTAAGACCTTTTAAGACCTGCATAAATAAAATGAGTAACCATGTATCTCAGCTTATTTTAATTAAACAAGCTGCAGCACACATTCAACTTCAAAAGAGGGAAAGAGCAAGTTTAAAATACTCCAGACATGTTTTATTCGATATTGTACATAAGTACTGAAATTGGTTCATGTCATCTCAATACATATGAATTAGAAATCAATAAATATTGGATTTTGCTGATACTATAATGCATTTAAAAAGGATTTTTGCAGATACTAGTAAAATGTATATACTGAATTTAATGTTGAAATTTTAAATGCCAGATCCAGTTTAATGTGTCACTAAAATACACAAATAATAATAACAACAGAGAAAGTATTTTATGCATAAAGCAAGACTAAAAAAATACAAAAACAACAATTTTTGTATTTTGAAATGTCTAGGCTTTTCATTGCAAACATTGTCATAATACATGTAAACACTGTTATAATTCATCAACAGTAGATCATAAGCAGTAACGGTAGATCATTATTGGCATAAATGAGTGATATTCATTGATTTAGAACTGCTCTAAAACTGCAATCCTGAAGAACATGCAATAGCACCACATTTTGACTTGCAGCGTTCACACATTTATTTTAATTAAATCATCACCTTTGAAGTTTAATAATCACGTCAGGCCCATCACATCACAGTTCATCCTCAAATTTAAGACCTTGTGATAATTAAGACATTGCTATTCCACTTAGGATATTTAAGACTTTTTATGGCCTTAAATTTGATCAAATTGATTTTAAGACATTTTAAGACTTGAGAATGAGGATGAATAAATGACACAGTTTTCATTTTTGGGCGAGCTATTCCTTTAAGAGAAACAGACTGCAAGAGACTAGGATGATGGAGAAAGGGTGGATCAGACGGGAACGCAGACGCGGTGTCTGTTCAGGAGACACGTCTATTGCGCCGAAGGATTTCAGCTTTATATTTCACAGCTCAAGTCCTCTCAACAAAATGCGCCGATTAGAGAAAAAAAAAAAAAAAACTGCTACCATTTCTCATTCTCTATCTGTATCCTACATGTATTCACTCAAATTCAGAGAACTACCTTACATCACCAGGATTTTGTAACATGTAGAATCTCAAGCTTGTATTCAGGCAGCAGGAATTTAAAAAAAGCTTTAGATGTAATAGTCCTGGAGATTTTAATGCAAAACAACAAATGTACATGTCCGCCTGTTTCTCTTTATCTTCTTAAGACTCAAAGCCAGGCAGATGATTTACCAATCAAATCTCAAGTGCTTTTCTTCTTATATCATCAATCTTTAATAAACGCAGGGCTTAAACTGGAAGCCACAATACTCATTTAAAATGAAGATTTTTTTAATGAACCCACAAAGGAAGGTTTATTATTCTACAGCTCGCTTGTGGCGTTTAGTAATACAGTTGGTGATTCTTTTTTCTTTTCTTCTTTTTATATAGCATTGGTTTTCACACCTGTCCTCAAAGTAAAATAATCTTTATAATTTTACATTATTATAAAATAAAGTCACAAATAATTATACAGAAAATCCACACGAGTATGTAATATAGAAGTATATACAGAAAACGTGTGATACATGGATGCTATCTGATTTCAAGGAAAGTAACGTTTAATTACCATTAAAAAAACCTTACAGACAATTCAAACTTATATGAGCCAATAAACAGCAACGAACACATTCGACTGGGGAAGAAAACTCATACCATCTCTTAAACCATCTCTTAAACAGTGTCAAAATGAGAGCAGACAGCAGTTAAACAAATAAAGAGACGAGGAGACAGCTGCTGTAGGGCAGAAGAAATAGATGGATTCGGAGGAGGACGGGATTAATTTAAGACTTCACTGAAATAGCACATCAATTTATACCTCCGTCTCTTTCAGCCTCTCCGTCTCTCTGATCTCTACTAAACATACACTGTTCTGTCTCCTGAAGTGCCATTATTTTACAAGCACAATCTGCCCTTTTCCATGTTCATTCGACTGAAACCTGAAATTGCAAATGTCAATCCACCATATTTGGCTGTGATCATTGTCCCAGAAAACAGGACTTTTATTGCATACTAAAACTAAGGCGAATACTCCTGATTCAAAAACTTTGCTATAAGCTATAAAATAAATGCAACTATAAATATATTGATACGGATAAATATATAGATGTGGCTTTCTTTCATCAAAGGTCTTGCTCTAGCAATGTTCTGTTGGTTTAAATGTAATTGTTTTGAATGTTATATCATTATAATAAATCTTCTATATAACTAGTAATTTATTTGTAGGTTTATGTTTCTTGAAAAATTGTAACACTGTGGAAATGTGCTTTCAAAATATAACTTTGTTTGTTTGCATATCCTAGGGTGAAATTGGGCTGAAATTCAACCAACGTTCTAAATTTGCAAAGGAACTATCGTATTGATCAACCAATAGAAGATGATGGGGGTGTTAAGGAAACCCATTTGAAAAAAAAAACTTTACTTTTGCTATAGAAGTAGAGAAATTACATATTTCACCTATAATTATAATTATTGAAACTAAAAAAAAAAAAATGAAAAACTATACTGAAAGATAATAGTATTTAAAAAAAAAACTTTTTAATATCTTGTTTCAAAACCCAATCATAATCTTGAATATGTATTTAGATTCCATTTCGAAAGACTGTTTTCTTTCCCTACTTCTTTTCCCAGTGGCATTTCAATACTCACCTCATGATGGAGTCGTGGTCATCAATCACTGGACCGTAACCTGCCCCGCGGAGGTTTCCTGAATTCCCCACCACAGCACAGCGCAGACAGCGGGCAGGGTCCCACGAACCATATGGGGAACGGCCTGGAATGACCTGGAACAGCCTCTGTAGAACTTGCTGGATGTTGTGGGGTTTGAATTGAGGCTGCAACATCTGTACAGGTCCCAGAGGGAGGGAGGGAGGGAGGGAGGGAGGGAGGAAGAAAGAAACTGACATAAGGTTGGGCAGTTATCTTTTAACTTCAAACCATCTGCACACCTGCCTGTGCACACATGCATACTAAAATAAACATCCAGGCAGCCAATTAGCCACTGTGCCAATAAAGCCCTCTGTGGTGAGGAATACAATTTTTTTAAAAACACATTCAAGACCAGACCTAAAATAGTTTCTTTTGTATTTTAATGACATCCCTTCATTCACCGTTTTATTCCCCAGTTTATCAGGTCTCTATTGTAGCTAATAATTTTTACATGTTCTCTGGGTACACCCATCTACATGATGGAAGCCATTGTGTTTTATCTGAGACTCGGTCACCAACAGATGTTTTTTAATTGTATTTTTGATCAAATAAATCCATCCTTGGTAAGCAATAAAGACTTTTTTCAAAAACATTTTACAAAATCTTACCAACCCCCACAATTTTGACCAGTAGTGTATATATTCATTTAAGATACAGTATATGTGCATCTTTAAATGTATAGCAGAATTAGGCAAAAATCTGAATAACAGGAAGAGAAATTTAATTAATTGCAATTCAAAAACGTTGACAAATTTCATTAGTCCAACAACAGCTTCATGACTAAACAAATTACAAAGTTACAGAGTAATTATGCCCATTATACTCTGATATTGGAAATACATTTTTCTGATAAGACATTTTCTAAAGTTCAATAAAGTCCAAAAATTCCAATATTGCCAAAACAATTAAAGTCCCCCTGTAGTCAATAATTGTGTCCCTTAAAACTCATCTTTGATCACCAAAATTACATATTTAAATGTTTTTTCCTTTCAATGTAACTCTCGACCCTAGCCACATTTAGTATATGCGGTTCTATGAGTATGCAAATTAGCCCCGCCTCCACTCACTCACACCAGCTCAGAGATCCCCTCGTTGAACGATCACGTTGACGTGATTGTGTAGTTTGTGACGTCAGAAACACCACCGATTTCAAAACGCGTTTTTGTCTTTGGTTCAATGCATTTAGCAGGTTTTTTTTTTTTATTACCAGTAAGCAAACACCTAGAACAGCATTGTGACAGCATGTTTTTGAAGTGCAAAATTCTGTAGTTTCCATAAGTGCAGGCATTTTCCCAACTCTCATGCCCAAATCTTTCTGCTCCTTTTGCTTAATGCAGTCCTCCACCCTCCCTGCTTTTAATTTACTCAGCGCAAGTATTACAGACTAACATTTTTCAGCTGACACACTTTTTTCAGACATTACTCATGTTCTCTTGGCTTCGTGTCGCTTAAACATGATGCATAAGCACAACTGCAGACCGCTAACATCTCTCATTAAAAGGAAAAAAGCACAATAAAATATGCAGTTTTGCAGTCATTTCATTTTGTTTTTACCATTTAGTTAATGCATGAGGTCAAAAGCATTTCATGAAATCGAACCACAACAAAGTCTAACCACGTCAAGGGAATGGATTCCTAATATAAAAGCTGCAACTGAGTAACTGTAAGATCACTTACCACCCACCAGTAGTACACGTCTGAAGGCAGCTGGATGTTGTCCCGAATCCACACAGGCGAGATGTCTGGGTCGTAGTTCTCGTCGAACCAGTCGGAAACGCCTGGGTCGCCCACGCACCGAGAGCAGGCACATGTCTTCTGCTGAGCGCTCTCAGCTGGGATCACTCGGTGGGAACCAGCATAGCTGGGAACTAGCTTAACCCTGCGCGACTCTTCCCATCCCGGGGGTTCAAAGTAAGGCAGGCCGGCTCCTCCTCTCAGGGAGAAGGAGAAGAAGAGCGAGGTGAGGAACAGGAGGGCCAGGGATCCCAAGACCACGCAGACGCGCAGGGAGCAACGCATGCCCCCGCGTTCTCCTGCCGCCACAGCTCCAACGGGCGCCCAGGGCCTCAGCTCACCCGTCCTCGGAGTTCGTGCCCATGTGGCCCATCCCCAGCCCAAGCCCAAGCGTCCCTCTCGCTGCGGAGCCACAGACGGCATGCGCCCGCCCCACTGCCATAAACCGGCCCCTGCCACCGTGCCCAACCTGGACTCAGTCCTACTTGGCGTACTGAGCGACACAAGCTTTAAACCCAAAAGTGTGTGAATCTCACAAAACTGTTCGCCTGTGAACTACCACTGCTGATCTGCCGTCTGTCAGTCTTCTCTTTCAAAGTGTCACCGCTTCCGTGGAGCCTTTTACCGCTCTTTATTTTCAATCTCTTCCCCCTACACCATGGGATCTCCTCCAGCTCTCTCTTTCACGCTTCTGAACTGCCACGGTTCAAACAAACACCAGTCTTTCGCCTCTAAAAAATCAGTCTGCTTGTAGGCGTGTGTGTGATCTGCTCTATTCTCCTTGCAGTGACAGTTGGAAGAATAGCCCTCTCTGCGGTTTTGACATCTCAGTGCCAGACAAGCTAGGCTGTCATCCGTGTCTGTTCCATTACAGTCCTCTATGAGTCCAAGTTTGTCACTGTAATTCGGTTTGACCGCGTCCGTACTCTCTGTCTACCGAGCCACCGTGCTGAACTTCACAGCCAGAGGAGGAAAAGGGTGGAGTTTTCTCACAGACTTGTGATGAAGTTCTTTTGCAGACATATTGAATAGCTTTATATTATACAACACTCTAAACTCTTTCCGTCTCATTCATTTAGCTGTAGTCGAGTATCCTGCAAATTATTTTAAGTGCAGAGACATGTCGCCGCATTTGTCTCGATCCTTGGTCTTTATGATATCTTCAATGAAAACTATTCTTTGAGGAACTTCACTTTCACTTCCTAGCTTCAATTCGCAACTGTCTGGAAAACAGCAGTGGGGTTTGAACATTCCAGTCTAACTGAGCACTTTAGGACATTCTACATCATAGTTTGATAAGTTGAGCACTTGACTCTCCAGGTCAGTGGATGATAAAAATGAACCAAATAAAAAAAAGGAGTAAAAGATAGCAACAAAGACGATTAAAAGAATCTAATGGCTCAAGAACAAAAAAGGGATTTGAGAGCCAAGGAGCTGGATTATAGAAAAAGGCAAGCAAAAAAAAGCCATCCCTCCATCAGATTTTCTTCTTACACTGCATTTGTCTAGCAGCTAGAGGAGTACGTGATCAGTCCGAGTGCATGCGAACATGTGTTGCGTCGCAGGACTCGCCTGCCAATTTCACGATGACAGCTCTTAACGGAATTGGTGAGGTGGAAAACTAGGATTTCAAAAAGGCAATGTGCCCTGACCTGCTGTTGTACTGTAATCTCCAAATCTATAATCTCTGGGATGCTGCTGGCCCACCTGTGTGAGCTCTCTTTCTCTTGGCCAGTTTGCTGCCGAGAAAACCCGTCAGTCGGAGAGGGTGCAGTGCATCAGAATCATAGTGGAATCCAGCTGCTGTTGTCTTCAGCTGCTCTTCTTGATTTAGGGTGACCTTCCAAACTACAGGGTGACAGACAGACGGACAAGTAGAGAATTATGTAGTGCATATCAAGACAGGGATGCAATTCATAATGTTATTATTTTAAGCTGTGTGGATTTTTTTTAGTTGCCCAAATTCCAAAACAGATTTTCATATTCAAACTTTCAGAAAACTGCCAAAAAATAGCTGATTTTTGGCAAGCAAAGTTTTAAATATATTTCACACAGTTACATGCCAAAATGTGTTTTGCTCCAGAGACATTTTTCTGCATTTAATACAAATTACAACAATATGACTGAAATATACACAGAAAAATAAAGCAGTGTTTTGAAAAACATATAATGTATGTTATGGTTTTTCAACATACCACAAATGTTTCTACAAACGTACAGGGGGTTCTAAATTCTGAGACACACTGAAAGGATTTTAAAAAACGTAAAACTACTGAAAAAGTTATGGCAAAATTAATATGAAAATTTTCGGCACTATTCCTAAGGTCACCAATAATATCTGTCGATATGAACTCCTTTGAATAAAAAACAAAACAAACGTAATTGAATCACAAGTCAAATATAACCCTGATAAAATAATTTCCAAATAAAACTAGTGTATAAGATTAGAAAAGAATGCAAAATAAATGAATTTTCAAAAGTGATCTCAGATTTTTTGCTGCCAATATGAGAAAAAAAAAGAAAAAAAAAGAAAAGCATTGTAATATAAGCATTACCTGTCATAATGCACCAAAAGTTGCTGCTCAGGTATCCTTATGGTTTCTGCCTCCAACTCATATTTTATTTTTCCAATCCTTCTTTTCCCCCCTCTTGTTCACTGACTTTTCATTATCATAATATTCACTGATATCTGTCCCTCACACAAATTTTGTGAAGACACCACAGTTGAAGTGTTTCTATCTTTGGGGCTCTCTTGTGACCACTGATTTATGTTGAATATTCTCTGTAGAGCATCTGCTGAGCTAAATTACCAGAGCTGAATATGTGGAGCACAGGCATGGGCATGGACTTCACTGCTCTCACAAAATAACACCAACCAATGTGTGCATGTTTTAACATTCATTTAAATGCATGTTTGTAAGAACAGTTTTGACAATAAAAGCAATGCAGAATAATATATTTACACACATCAGTTTGATGCCAACAGTTTAATCGTGGATTTAGAAGAATATATTGAGATAGCATATCAAACAAACAGGTGGCTCGTGCTGCTTTCACTGTGGCTGCAGATTAAATCACGTGCATGTGATTGCATGCGTGGGTGAGCCGCTAGAGATCACAAAATGCTCTCCCTTTCACTCCAATTAGAAAAATGCATTTCAGATTTCATTTTCCCCAGCAGAGGTAAATGCCTACTTCTTTGATTGAGACGTTCCCAACCTTAAACGCGCTACTTCTTTTAGATACCAACATTATGAAGAGATACAGAACGAGGCTGTGTGCATGTCATTTAATGCTGCTACAACAATTCAGGTTTAATCGTGTTTTTTTCTGCTGCTGGTGCAACGGGAGCGCGATCAGGTTTGACGTTCTGAAAGGCATGAACTCACCCAAGTTTCGGCTTTTATGTGGGCTCCCAAACTTTTTGTTCCATTTCCCTTTTCGATTTCGAACTCCTTTAGTTTATAGCCAAGAACGTAATCGTTTGTCGTCAGTAAGTGGATGAGTGGTGTGCGATTAATATTCGTCCTAATTCGGTCACTAGGCCTTATATGTTCTGAGGGATTAAAGGTGCTCTAAGGCTAAGCGATGTTGGGTGACGACACTTCTTGTTGACATTCGAAGTATTGTCAAACAAAACGGAGGCTAGCTAGACCCTCCCTCCTACCCATCCCGTCCCCTACCCCTGTAGTTTTACTGATAACTTCATTCAAGGTGTAATGTCGCCAAGTTAGATAAATGCTTTCATAATGCAGAAAAAGAGAAACATTAACACAAAAACACGATAAAACGTTTCGCCACCTGAGGTTATAACTTTAGCTCCCATACAAGGACGCAATAATAGCAAGAAAACGTTAGCTTCGCGTTTCCCAGTGAGCATAAACCTAGGCTCCTTCGTAAACAAATTTAGTCAAAGTTGTCAATAGGCTATATAAATGAACATTCAAATTCACAACAAACAGTTGGTGAAAACAATCATTCACACAAACTGTCGCCCTATGTGAGTTTGCTTGATCATTTACAATAGAGATCCAGCTAGCTGCTAGAAACCTTTATGTTGAATTCACCAAAGTTAGCGTTGACTGCATTGTTCTAGCTAATTATATCCTTGTGTTTTTTTTACAGTGTGTACAGTGTGTTCAGGGGACAGGCAGCTAGTGGATAGTGAGGAGATGTTTGCTGTATGTAACAAAACATGTTTTGGCCTAAAAAACGCGTGACATCGCTTAGAGCACCTTTAATATTAGACTTTTAAAAAATAATTCGGTCAGTAGCTAATGTTCAGAGCTGGTTGCAGCTGGGCAGTTGGTTGCGGTTCTAGTAACTTTTAGTTTTAAACTAAACAAATCGCTACTCACGATTTTTAAAATATAGAAACAGCGAAAGAGGCTGCATGCACAGTCATTTAACGCTGCTATAGCAATTCCAGTTTAATAATGTTTATTTCTGCTACACCCTGGCCTTGACCCTTGACCATGCTCCTGCTTCATGCTGCTGCTAAGGTTATGCGACGGGAGCGCGATCAGGTTTGACGTTCTGAAAGGTGTGAACGCGCCCAAGCTTTTACTTTTATGTGGGATTACGCAAACTTTTTGTTCCATTTATCTTTTTGATTTCAAACTCCTTTAGTCTATGTACAAATAATAAGCTAAAATGAAAGTTGTCAGTGAGTAGATGAGTGTAGTGTGCGGTTATTTAATGACATTCGACTTATTAAAAATAATTCTGTCAGTGGCCTAATGTTCTGGGGCAGTGGTTTGGTTCGTGTTAGTTTTAAACTAAACAAATTTATTAAAAAAAATTAAATATAGTGCGGATGTGTACATTTATCAAACCATGACAAATAATCAGTACTTGTGGTTTGACGGCCAGTGAAAACTTTTAACAAACTGTAACTTTTGTGTTTACTGAAAATTTTATTGAAAAAGAATCATAATTAATAATAGTTGGTTAATAATAATTGGCTAATAGTTTACTTATAATTTCATTTTTCTGTATTCATTTCAATTGCATTGATTGTAATTTGTTTAAATGAATCTATGCTGCCTCTATACACGCCGTTTCAGAACCAATGTAAAAACGGCATGAGAGTTTTATGACCAGCAAATAAGTGTGATGCACTGTCTAAAAAATAAAAGTATGGAAATCAGTACACCATATAGAATATAAAATCTCAAATGAAAGGCAAAATCCTCTTAAATCAGAATTATGCTACCAGTCTATTCAATTCAGGCTTCATCACCAAGCATCACATCCTCTACCCCCATCCAATATCTCAAAATGACAGTCTTCTCATTTATAAAGCCATCAGCACACATTGCTTGCTAGACTCACAACAAACAGGCAGTTGAGATACGGAACCATTATTTTTCTCTTTTGGTCAGCACACCTAAACATGACCTGCTACAGATATTGCTTTCACAGTTGTGCTCAACATATTAACACTCATTCTTTACTCGACGCATATTCATATGACACATGCTTGTAATACGTTCTCAAGGATCAATTCAGGCAGAGAACACGAATAGGCCTATCAATTTTTCCATTTCTTCCTCCTTCAAACTCTGATACAGGTATTACACACAAAACATCCACTGACCTTAGCTTACCCTTTTCTTTCCCTCTCTCTTTTGTTGTTCAGTCGCTTTTAGTGGGTCTTGACCAATGTGCCTGATCAGCAAGGGTGAGCCGAGCACTGTAGAGTGGGTGTCTGAGTTGCCTTGGCAACGAAACCTCACAGCTGGCTGCAATGGAAATGTAATTGAAAGAGAAGAGCAGACATTCACATACTGGGTGGGCTTGCATTTTCTCCGACTCACATGCTGGACAGGTTGTTCTCAAATATTCAACAGTAAATGCTCCAATTTTGCGCTATAATCAGATTGGATGGAAGCAGGGAGGAAAAACGATGCCTGTCCAGTGACTAGGGTTAACATACTGACAAAACGTGCACTCTCTCTCGGCTGAGGATTAATCTAATCATAAAATAGTAATTTTCAACGGCTTGGCCCTAAGGCTTAATCTAATTTCATGTTTAATGGATTAAACCCTTTTAAGGCTGGATACATTATTGCTTGTTAGACCTCTCTTGGGAGAAAAGTATGATTATCATGTCTTTTTTTTCCATTTAAAAATGTAGACTAAATTTATGATTTAGCAATTTCAATCAACATTTTATTCCAAGGTGATCTGGTGTCAGTGGAATGTGTTTTCAAGCCTTTGTTCAATGGACATTGTGAAACTCGATAACTGTGAGAGGAATAGCATTTAATTCTTGGGAATGTGGCACAATAATAAATGGGGCATCATGCTGTTAGTGTACATTATCAATCACAAAGCCATTCTTCAGATAAATAATCCAAAACTAAGGCCATGATAGTAATTTACAGAGTTCAAATACTGAACCTAATTCGAAGATGTGTTGTAAAATGAAACTTTTTTTTATCCCGGCTAGTCCTAGTTTGCATCACAGTCACACTAATCACAAAAAACTATAACGTTTCACATCAAGCCCGTAACCCAAAGCCTTAAACCAACTTAATGACAGAAAAACAAGTGAAAATGCCTACTCTCAAATTCACTTAGGCTTCAGCTTCAGTCATTTATTTCCCATTCTACCTCTCAGAAAATACTGGCTCTCATTTTCATTTTTTTTCTTCATTATCGTCTTATTTTATACTCTCTCAAGGGAAAATTAATTTAGCCTTGTGCACCAAACATGAAAGTAGAACTAGATATAACCTTAGGTGTTATTTTGACTCATCTGAACAAGTTTCTGCCTGATTAACTTAATGTCACAATTATCATAGATAAAAAGCTTTAAGTTCTCATCTAAAAAACATCTTGTCTTTCTTTTAACTCTGAGAATATATTTCATATCCATTCTAAATGGGGCATTACCCTGAGGAGGCACTGGATCAGTTATCAGCATATACAGCTAAGCAGTCCGTACTCATGAATTGTGTTTGTGCCCGAGAGCAATGAGTTAACATGCCCTCTTGAGTCTTGAGTCATTCTCCTGGAGCTACTGTTGACCCTTCATCATGCCTTTCTACATCTATCCACAGGGGATGCCAACACCAGTCAGGTCCTCCGCGTCCAGCCCGCAGAAGCTGGTCTATTATGATCAACCATGATAAGCCACAGACACATTGCTGTAGAAAACAGTCCTCACGGATCTCAAAGGCCTGGGAAGAATACTGAAGTTTTCATGAATCTTACCATCTAAATCAGAGCATAAAGCATCTCAAAGAAGAAGCAAACAGACCATAGAAGTGAAAAACGATTGAACAGGACAGATCTGTTTGTCACAGCAGCAATGGACGGTACAGTCACTGTCTAATAAACTGCCTCACCAGAAATATGTGTTTGTGTGCCATGGGAGCTCTTAACAGCTGAGGCTGCCCAAGTATCTGACTCAGCACCCCATCCCTTGCTTCAGGCTCTAAAAGGCAGTATGTGTGTCTATGTAAGCTCCTATTCAGGAACATTGACTTTGATTTAAGGCATAAGCACAGGTGAAGTGAGTGACCTATCAATTACAAAAATCATAATCAAATAACTGTCATTTTAACATTTATATAGCGCTTTCACAGACCCAATGGCCACCAAAGCGCTTTACATTTGCCTCACATTCACCTATTCACACACTTATTCATACACCGACGGCGGTGTCTGCCATACAAGGCGCCATCCAGCTCGTCAGGAGCAGCTGGGGTTAGGTGTCTTGCTCATGACACTTGGTCAGGTGGAACCGGGGATAGGTTTAGAGTACCAGAAAGATTTATTTACATTAGGTTTATTTAACAACAGAAATTGAATAATCATACATTTATGTCAAAAATAAATCACTGCTTAGTCTTCACTATGAATTACATACTGATTCTTATTAAAGCTACAAACGTTATTCAGTCAAGAGCAGTGAGTGATTTTCTCTTTGTATTTTGTTGTTTGATTAACATTAAGCACACAGTCGGAAGCAAGTTTATTGGGCTGCTGTCACTTTAGGAGCTGCACAGATCCAATATGTTGTTACAAGGCACTTTGTTCTTAACTGTTTCCTCCATTTAAGACATAACTGACTGTTTTTGTGAATACTCACCAAGACGGGCATTTTGACATCATTTATAAGCTGAGGAAGAGAACTGAATTCGGGATTGCGCACTGTCCGAGAGTCGTCTTTTTTAATGCGCGCGAGTACTTCGCTTAGCATGTCACACTTGTGTACAGTCGTGTCCAGTCTACTCTCTTTTGTCTGCGCCTCCCTAAAACTTGTAATCTTTTGGAGTGTTAAAATCATGCAGTTATGATATGTACATTTGCGATATATCATGCAGCCCTAAATAAAACCTTGTATTTTCAAATGATGCACTTTGAAATCATCCCTAAAAAAGCAGACAAATGGAAACAATATGTGGTCAACCTGACCACCCGCTCCTCACTGACCTTGTCTCCGTTGCTCTTTCACATCTCCTCACTGTTCCCCTGTGGCGTATTCATGAATTATCCATGCATCTGCGGATCTACTGATCTATCGACAGTATCTCTTTCTATTTGGCAAGTACAGAAAAGGATGCTTTTTCAAGCCTGTGCCCCTTTCTATGTCATACCTTTCCATTCTCTCACTCATTCTTTCAATTTAACAATGTTTTTAATCCCTTTTTCTGCATGACAAAGTGTTTCTTCTCCTGTGTTCAGAAATGTCTCTCTCTCTCCCTCACTCATCCCGTACAGATCCTCTCAGGCCACCTAGACTGGGGCCAGATGCCAAGGCCTGTCGCAGAGCCCATCGATCGAGAGGAAAACCAGGGGCAACGCTGGCTCCGGAGCACCACAGCATCACCCTCATTGCTGGCACAGTTAACCCTTATCTGACCACCTCACTGAATGTTGCTCACATATTCTGAAGTCATAAAAAAGTGCTGCAATGAGCGATTATAAGGTTGTGTGCCAATTATACTTTCCCTTAATCTGTCAATTAGATGTCAACAACTCATCATATTTACACTCAACTCAGCCTGGCTATTTGCTTTCCAGACTGATTTACATGGCGAGCTCCAAAATTAAAATAAATCCCAGATCTATTTTTGTCAACGCGTCATTTGGATTAATTTACGATTAGTAAATGAGGTAAGCTCCAGTTGTGTGTGCTTGTTCAGTGCCACACTGCATTCATCTAATCAATCTAATGTTTTTAAATGTATAGAAAGGTGAGAATGTCAGGTTACCTTCCTGTCTAGACTGAACTCAGAGGACATTTTTATGGAATCTTGTTTCTGCCACGAAAAAGCTTTTATCTTATTTTTCTTGCAATTGCGAGTTTATATCTCACAATTCAGACTTTATAACTTGCGATTCCGAGTTTATGTCTCACGGGTCTGAGAAAAAAAGTCACAATTGGGAGGTATCATTTTGAATTGTGAATTATAAAGTGGGAACTGCAAGAGATAAACTTGGAATTGTGAGAAATAAAGTCCGAATTGTGAAATATAAACGCAATTGTGAGTCAAAACTGCTAGATAAAAAGTCGCAATTATCTTTTTTTTTTTTTTTTTTTACTGTGGCAGAAACTGTGTGTAAAAACCATTACATTTTCAGTGATCTGACATGAAGAGCATCTGAAAGAAAACTATTCCATCTGTTTGGGTTTGGGAGCAGGTCTCCCAGGGAAAAAGAAACCCAGTACACACGCAGATATACAGATATACAGATAACTCTTGGCTTCAGCAGCGGGTGCCCTATTTGTTATTTTCTGTACAATCCACGTGGTCTCCAAATGAAGAAGCAAACATAACTGTAAATGTTGAGTTGAGCTATTTAAGTTGATATAGCTGGATTTCAGGTGTTGTCACAGCTCTTTGAATTAACCAATTTGAGCCCATGATAGAAAAAGGTTTCCTGTAGAGTAACCCATTTAAAAGCTCTCATATGTGACTCGTTGACAGCGTCCTCCCTCTGTACACAGTGTTAACCTAGTTAAGGCTAAGACAGCAGGACTTTTGCTGGCTCCTAAAATTCCCTAGGTACTATGTTAGCCTAGTTACAGAAGATGATGAACATCTGTCATATGGAACAGTTGCTCAAACAAGACAAATTTCCAATCTATCACAACACACAAAGTCCTTTTTTTAATCCACTCTTGTACACCACACTGTAAAAAATTATGTCAGTAAGTCATGACAACATGTTTTTACATTATTTTAACCCATCAAATTTTTTTTTTTACTTTTTTAATAAGTTATACAAGATTCAACCTATTTTAAAGCCATTTTAATGTAATTTAAGTTGAAATGACTTCTACATCTAAGTGGATTGAACTTAAAAAAAACATGTTTTTTTTAACATTTGAATAGTTTAGACAGTAATTCCAACTCAAGGACATGCATGTTTAAGAAACGCATTGTCACAGCATCGATGTGGTTTTACAACACGCATGGCACAGGAGACTCACAACACCGTTTTCAACTAAAACCAGAAAACTTTTTATGCATTTAAGCCATTTATAAACAGAGTTTTGGGGGCCTGAAAACGCAAACTTTTAAAAACGGGTTTCAAAATGCACATTTTTGAAAACGATACCATTATCGTCTGTGTAAACTACAAAAATGGGAATTTGTGAAAACGGTGACATCATGTGCATGTGTATTACATGTACAGTAGTATACATGAATTTGTGTCTTTCTTTAAAAAGTGACTTCGCCAACTACTGGCCTGGCAGCATAACACGTTTTTTTTTTATCTTTTTCACAGATCCATGTGAACGGAGATCATTTTGTCAACATTGTCATCTGCACACAAAAAAAGGAAAACTTTTCAGTTTTTAGTACATCGTTGTTGTGTAAACGTGCACTCAATGAAACAATCTTTAATAAACTAAACGATCACTCAGGAAAACAACGGGAGAAATAACAAGTCTTACCACACTTAAACTGGCTGGCAGACAGGCAAACCAAAACACAATGACAATAAAACAGACCTATACAGAACATAACCATTACTCACATCAGGTGATTAAAATATTCAATGCTATGATTTATTCATTATATGGTTTCAGCACTGAGTCACTGTGCATACCGTCGCAGAAGATTTAATAAGAAATTGATGATCCTCCATTAAGCCTTGGGAAACATTACACTGGATGTCTACAACTCGTCATGCTAAACTCAGCTGGGCCATTTGCTTTCTGGACTGCGATGCATGGTGAGCTGCAAAACAGATTTATTTTTGAGTGCATGTCTCTGTGACACTGTAAAAAACAACAAAAATATTGGTAACATTTTACCATAAGATTTCATTTGATAACAATAGTTAACTAAATTAGTATAATAACGACCAATACTTCTACAACATTTATTAATGTCAACATTTACTAATACATTTTTTAGGTCAAAAGTTGTTTATTAACTAACATTAACAAAGGTTAATAATTAAATGCTATAAGAATATATAGTTAATGAACAAATGCATGAACTGTTAACAAATGAGACCTTATTGTAAAGTGTTACCAAATAAATGTTCTTGGTTGTATTATTATTATTATTTTACAGGACGATTCCATTTGAGTTTTTCTACTTCAAAATGTCACGGTAATTCAATGTGTTGTTTCTATGTAATTATTTGCTAAATTGACTAGCAATTTCTTGAGTGAAAATTGTTTTAAAATAAATCCTATACACCATTTTTCAGTATGCATGATATTTCGTCAAATAAACTCTAGGCTAAAAGAGAGCCCTATCACCACAGACACGCAATTAACCCAAACAGCAACTGTCCTCTGTCACTGAAAAGGGACCAATTAGCAAAGGGCAAATTGAATGTCATGATAGAATCAGATATTAATTAAAGGTGTTGCAGCAAAGCCTGTGTTTAGATATTGAGATATTGTGTGATATACAGTAGAAGTTACAGCACCATAAAATGGGCTTAATGGCCACTCATCTGAAACGCCATGATCTGCCAAAATTCTTATCGGTCTACATATAATTAAAATAGTAAAAAACTAACCTTAATTAGTTAATACCAATTGAGTATAACTTGGTAATTTAGGTCATGTTATGCAACACGGTATGGTCAGAACAGACTTTTTACATAACAATAAACAAATCTAAACAACATTAGATTTCTTCAAAATCTCTCTCTCTCTCTCTCTCTCTCTCTCTCTATATATATATATATATATTAAAGCATATATATATATATATATATATATATATATATATATATATGTGTGTGTGTGTGTGTGTGTGTGTGTTAAGCAAATCTAGTTTAAAAACCACTAATAACTACCAATTTATCTGTGATAATTGCTAAATGCACAGTTCTTTGGGGATAAGGGCATGGAAAATGCTGGTCAGCTAAAATCTATGAAAATCTTTAAAGCACAGAGTTTATTAATGCACAAGTGATGTTGAAACTCTGATACAGCCATGTATCGGATCGCTAAAGTGATTGTCTAAAAAATGGAAGGAAATCTTGCACTTTTTTTTACCATATAAGTTTCCCTGAGAAAAGAAAATGGATGTTATTGATCTTTAATACATTTTTGTTGTCTTTCTGGACAACATACTACTTATTTGATTTCACTTTATTGAGTTTACATTCACATTTATGAGAGTTCAGTTGTGTCTACTTTGAACAAACTGCATAAGCACTAGACAAAGACTTGATTAGGTCACCCTGTCACATCAACCCCAAGAAAATCCTTTACTACCCTTCTTTCTTTCCTGTATCTAAGCAACGCTGGCAGATCGGTAAGGGTGGGTTTAGTGGAATGAGACCCTCACATAAATGAGATGGGTTCGGACACAAAGGGGTAAGCCACGGGTCCCTCTTGAGTGCCTGCATGATGCGGGCCATCGACCACTCTAGCTACACAATCTGGCACTATATGCTTTAAAAATAAAAAAAAGGAGGGATGAGACATTAATGGACTGAAAACCACATAAGCATTGACCACAACAGGTTATCTCACACAATGGACACAAATCACAAATGTAATGATGCTCATGCTTTCCTTACCTTGCAATGCCTCTTAAGATGCATAACCTTTCATCATGATGTATTCTTAAAACTGGGGCAGTTTTTGGATATAAAGACACCCACTTCTCTTCCTCCCTAGAATGTAAATTTCTGCAGACTGTTGTAGATGTTGCACTAAATGAAGAGCATTCAGCTTCCATCTGCTTCACATGAATTCTTTGTCGGTAGTTGTTGCAGCGTCCACATAGCCTATGCAATGCAGATGTGCACAAAATCCTGCTGTTCGTTATTTTAGCGTCTCTAAGCCCTTGGATAATGTGCAACAATGTAATTCTCACAACGTTGCGTGTAGTCCGTGTGTTGCCCCCCCTCAACAAGACACCCTTACCCCACATTCTCCAATCGCCTTTACAGTCTACTGGGATATGTAGTTCTTTAAATGATTTATCACTTAACTGCGAACCTTTACTTTGCTCGTGCAGTTACTCAAGTGACTTACCCAATACATTATTTCTTGTGTATTTATCTACACCACACCTGAAAAGTGGTGTAAGTTGGTGGCAAGTGTTGCGTGCGAGTCATGAGCCTTTTTGTACTACATTTCCCACAATGCATTTGGAACAGATGGAATTCACAGCAGACCGCTAAGTGCTGTGATTGAGGATGCTCAGAGAATATACATTAAATCTGTCCACAACGTGTAAATTATATATTCTCTCTCTATATATAAATGTATAGTCCTACATACATATTCTATATTTCTCGTGTATTCATATCTGTTGTTAAATCTAATCACTGTCCTGAATATATATATATATATATATATTTTTGCATAACCAACAGAACAGACACATAGGTTACATTACTTTTTATGATGTTGAGGTGCTATATTAGAAGTGCGTAGCATTCATGCTGTTATTTTTCCTCGTGTAGGTCTATAGTTTTTAATACGTGGCATTATATATGGAATTAATTCTCATTGTGCATTCCAGACAAGTCCCAGTTGATGCACTGCTGCCGCCTTGTGGAAAAGATTCGTGCCTTTTTTGCACTACACTGAGACTGGACAAAGTGTAAACTTCACACACTTTTTTTTAATCGAATTTTATTTGGTCATAAATGACAGACAAAATTAGATAAAAATGTGATCAGGTCTACAAACCGTTGCCTCTGTAAGATTCTTAAGTTGATCTGACAGCAAAAAAAGTTGTGATAACAAATCATGAAAATATTTTTTTTACAGTGTAGGCAACTTTATTGGTATGATTGTTTTACATATAATATTGCCAATGCAAAAATAAAACACAATGCATTGACACGAAAAAAAGGTGCCAGTGATAATGCATAATAAATAAATAGAATTAAAAATTATTTTTTTAAAAAGATAAACATTAAACTAGAATAAACTAAACATGAAACTAGGCTACATAATTCACCCCTATTACGCCTAAATAAATACGTTGCTGTAAATGTTTAAAAAGGTAGATTATTCAAACGCATGACGGTAGTTCGCTTGCAATTTCTAACCATAAATTGTGGTAGTGATAAAAATTTAGTGATAAATTTGGTCATCGTTTTATACTGTAATGGAAAGAATGAATCATTTTGCCGGTATGTGGTTATTTTCTGGGATTTCCACAACCACTTGTCTCTCACGCACACACACAATAAAGAGAGGAGAAGAGAGGGGGAGCTGCCTTCACTTGTTGCTATCGGAAATTTCCTACTTCCCACTTCTGAAGTCGTGATTACGACCTAATCGCATTCAAATCTTGACTTGAAGGTTCATGTCCAATTTTTAAACTTGGAGACTATTACGATAATTCCGATAGGCAGCATTAAAACTTCGGGGACCTTCTTTTCGGAAGAAACTGGTTCCGGTTTAGAAGACAATATTGTAACAGAATTTTGTTTTTTATTATCAACCCGATGGCTTATAATGGCTGCCAGTTTTGACTAAAATATCATGGTTAGATAATTATGGGAGCTCCTTAGAACAATTTTAAAAAGCTTTCAGAATTATTCGGTCACTTTGTTTGTTTTTTTAGACATGGCCAACAATGGGGACTGCAGTAACTGTTACTTAGGCGAAAAATATGGTTACCATGGTAAATGTATGAGATTTCAAAATCCGTGGACGCAAGCTTGTACAGTCCTTTTCTGTCTGTGATGCTAGACTCGATGTAAATGGGTTTATAAAATATCAAAAAGACATTAAATAAAAACAAAATAATCAAATAACATAATATAACATAAAACTAAGAAATATATAAAAGAGAAATGCAGAAGAAATGTTTTTTAAACGTTTCTAACAAATCTCTTTTTGAGGTCGATCTTTCCTCTCAGGCACATATTCGGACAACACTTCTATGCGCCACAGAACTAGGAGGCCCTCTGTCGTTTCAGCGCCGTTTGAAATAACGAGCGACCAGGCCAATGAAAAATATAAGTTTCTCATCTGATTGAAATCTACAACATCCTGGTTGCTATTTCGGTAAATATGTTTCATACAATTCCAGAATAACCCATATTGCTTAATCGTACTAAAATCTGTGTTCGTAAATTATAGTTATAACCTTTATTTTCACAAAGTTTGTTAGCCAACTGGCTAATGCTGAATGGACTGACTAACGCTTACAATTTCAAGTGCCGTTGGCAGTAAATTATTATGTGTTACATGAAGTACACCTACAGAAACACTTATTTAGCTTATTGTTTTTTAAATGCATGTTGTAACTCGACGAACGATCTAAAGTGAAATTCTGAAACGTGCTTTCACAATGCAGTTTTCAGTTTGTTTTACACAAATATGGTTTGACTTGGTTCTACTAATATAATAAATGTTTACCCTAAATTTAGTTTGAATGCCGTCATGAATAATTTCCGCACACCCGTATGTGTAACGTTAGGTATACAGTTTCTGTGCGTTTCGATGGGAAAACTCCTTTTATTGCTTTGTATTGTAACCAGTCTTTTTGCTGTCCTCACCTTTAATTTCTTTGTTTACTTTGGTACTTATACAATCTCTTTGGGATTTGCTTGTAGGTGTTGGTTTAGCTCTTTGTCCTGAGCCTCAGGTCCAGTGACAGCAGCCATGTTTCTGTACAACCTGACCCTGCAGCGGGCAACTGGCATCTCCCATGCCATCCATGGCAACTTCTCAGGTACATCACTGAACAACAACACTGAGTCATGGGTAATTTCTTCCTGAAAGTCCCCCTGTAGTCAATCATTTTATCCCTTAAAACTCATTTGATCAACAAAATAACATTATCTTTTTTTCCTTTTCCTTCATGCCTTAAAATAGTTTGAATGTAACTACCTTGTCTCATTTAGTATAATCGGTTCTATGAATATGCAAAGTTGCTCTGCCCCCACTCACTCACACCAGCTCAGAGATCCACTCCTTGAACGATCACATGTTGACATGATTGGTTACAAGGTAGTTTTTGTGACATCAGAAACATCAGCATTTTCAAACCACATTTTTGAGACTGTCTTCGGTTCTCTTTAGTTTTAGAGAGAAAATACTCCGCAATGGTGCTGACTGGTGAATTTGCAAATGGTTTGTCTAAAAGCATATTAAAAACACCACATAGACATAAACAACATTAAAAGCATGATTTTTCACCACATGGGGACTTTAAAAGCAGTGTGCTTTACTTATATTTTGTTGGAGAAATTGTTATTGTTGTATCAAATTTGAGATTGAAGTAGTGTTTTCTTCTCTATTATGATGTATATTATGATGTATATCTGAGTAAAACGACTTCTCTAACAAGAAAAATGTAGGGCGGGGCTTGATTTTGTTCATCGGAAATTGTTTTGGACTGTTGCGGATTATGTGAGTTGACAGGTTGTGCCACCCTTGCGCCATTAAACATGGCATTAGAGATGTCATTGCAAGTTGGAGGGGAAGTTATTTTGATTAAATATTATGAGGGCGCATGAATTTTCAAATAAAAATGGTGTGATTGGAGAAATCCTTTTATAATAAAAACTACAAATCCCTTTAAAAAACAAGAATTGTCAATTTTGGTTTCATGGTGACTTTAAAAGCATGAAATTTAAATCCTAAGTGGTGTTTCTCTTTCACTAGGAACTAAGCAGCAGGAGATTGTTGTTTCCCGTGGGAAAATCCTGGAACTGCTGCGTCCTGATGCCAACACAGGGAAGGTCCACACGCTGCTTACTATGGAGGTGTTTGGTGTCATCCGATCCCTCATGGCCTTCAGGCTAACGGGTGGAACTAAAGGTGAGCAACTTGGTTCTAATTGTTGTTTTGCATAGTTGATATGTAGAAATTTTAATTTACATGGATCTCATTATGTAATTTTAGACTATGTTGTGGTGGGGAGTGACTCTGGCCGTATTGTGATTCTGGAGTACCATCCCTCCAAGAACATGTTTGAAAAGATACACCAGGAGACGTTTGGTAAGAGTGGCTGCAGACGTATCGTGCCAGGGCAGTTCCTCGCTGTGGACCCAAAAGGCAGAGCTGTTATGATAGGTATAACTACAGAGGTTGTATCAGTTTGAGATGCAGTAGGAAAGCTGATAATCAAAATATGCATTAAAAAGCAAATGCAATAAAGCAGCATTTTCATATGTAACCCATTTTATAATTTTAACTATCCACTTTTTCCTCTCCCAGGTGCCACAGAAAAGCAGAAGTTGGTATACATCCTGAACAGAGATGCAGCCGCCCGCCTTACCATCTCCTCCCCTCTAGAGGCCCATAAGGCTAATACACTTGTCTACCATGTGGTTGGTGTGGACGTGGGCTTTGAGAACCCCATGTTTGCCTGCCTGGAGATGGACTATGAGGTCAGAGTCCTTCTTGAAATATCATCTGATCTCAACTCTCGAGATCCACTTTCCTGCAGTTTTTTCTCCAACCTTGACTGACTCACCTGCCTGTATCTATCTAGTAATTATAAAGACATTGATTAGCTTGTTCAGGTGTGTTTGATTAGGGTCTGAGCTAAAAATCTGCATGAAAGTGGACCTTGAGGGCCAGAGTTGAGAACCCATTCTCGTGCTTTGGTTTTTGACTAGAGGGACTTTAGCTTGCGCAAACCCCGCATTGGGGGTTGCAGGATGACTTAAAAGTAGTTAAAGTAATAAATAAATATTAATATTGTGAAATAGGGGTGGAACGGTACATGTATTCGTATTGAACCAAAACGGTACGGGGGTCACGGTTCGGTGCACGAATTTACACGGAGAATACACGGTTTAAAAATAAATAAAACTCGCGTGCAAATTAATTAATGTAATGCGGAACTACTGTTAGATACGCGGGTTCTTTAGGGACATATAATCTGTACCACCGGCTTAGCTCTGAACGCGCGTTCACTTCAAACGTTGGCTT